AAGCTCCCTTAACGGATTATTTACTACGATTGAGAACACTACAAATCGTTTTATTCTTCTTTTCTACGGTAGAAACTTCAAATTTTTGTTCTTACAAGGTCCTGGAAAAACGTTCCAATTCGCGCGTAGAAATTTTTGTCGATTATTTGAACAATAAAAAAAGAAAAAGAAATTGTACAATAAAATGCAGAAATTTGTATTAGTATTCGAACTTACCTTTTTTCAATAATTCATTGCGAAAGAAAGAGGAAGATTCGGAGGGTTTTATTATAACGACGATTAGCAGTGTATGAGCATGTATTTGACAATGTTTGTTTTTTTTTTTTTATGGTTTTTTTCTTTTTTTCTTCGTTTCTTACTTTTCTCCATCATCCATTTCTCTCTCGTAACTAGGCGACGGGGGGCACACATTCAAAAAATCGCATTTCATTATATTTGCGCCACTTGTTTGTTCCTCTCATTACTTTATAATCATCATTTTTTATTATTTTTAATTTTGTTTTCTCTTTTCTTGAAATCTTTCCTTTTCCCTTTTCTTTTCTTTTCTTTCTTACGTTGGAATGTTTATTATATTATTGCTAATTGCTACCGGGCGTGTCATGGATCGTTTCTAATCGCATTATTCGTGTTCTCTCGATCGCGAAATGATTAAATTAATTAATTAATTAAAAAAGAAAGACACGCGCACACAGACACACACAGACACACACACACATAGAAAAAGAAATAAAAATCCAATATAAACATAAAAAAGTCTCCCTTTCTCCCTCTTTCTTTCATCTCTCTCTCTCTCTCTCTCTTTGTTTTTTTGTTTATTCTCTTTCTCCCTAAACTTATTAATTTCAATTTTTTTTTGTTGACGGTCACGTTTAAACGACCAGAACACGTCCGGGTTACATCGACACATCGATTTATTGGGTAACGTTTTGGGGCTACTATATTTAAACTACACGCGAATTATAGTTTAGATTATCATACATACGTCATCGTTCGCAAAATTCGCCAACGATCATGAATCTCGTTAATAACGTTTAATTAATATTATTATCATCATCATCGTTATTATTATTATTATTATTATTATTATTATTATATCGTTATTATCATTCGTCGTTTCCTCGTTATCGATCATCATCAATCTGGTGTGTGCCTATGACAATGTCTTAATTTCGGTATTAAATATCTTACAATACACATGTTACCCCTCTCTCTCTCTCTTTTATATGGTTTTTTATTTTTTAATTTTTTTTTTGAACTTTTCTTTTTTCAATTTTTATTTTGTATTTATACTTTACCTCTTTCTTCTCTTTTAATTATATATATATATATATATATATATATTTATTTTTTTTATATACTATCTATCTATCTATGGGGTAATCAGATTCTCATTTGTTGTGCTCAGTTCGTTTAAATTCCCATCGCATTTTTCTGATTATTCGTCAATAATTAAAGATGAGATGACGGTGATTAGAATGATCATGATTACGATTAGATGATGATGACGATGAAGGAAAAAGTATGAGGGGATAAAAAAAAGAAGAAAAAAGAGAGAGAGAGAGAGGGTGAGAGAGAGAGAGAGTGAGAAAAAGAGAAAATAGGAATGAAATTTGTTTGGTGTTTTATAAGTATTGAAAAGAAAAACGCTGGAGAATCATCAGTTTTTGTTTTATATGCTTCTCCAAGAAGTTTCTCTCTCTTTCTTAATCATCGATATATATTATTATCATAATTATTCTAATCGCGATTCCCGCAGCGCATCTTTTTCTTACCTCGTGACGATTGTGACGAAACTATGCTTACACATACAAAAACGAATAGTAAGTAGTAGTAGTAGTAGTAGTAGTAATAGTATAGTAGTAATAATAATAATAATAGTAGTAGTAGTTGTAGGATAATTTGTGTTTCTTGATTAATTGTTTTTTTTTTTTCTTTTTTTCATTTTTAAAGGTGGCGTTTACAATACCATATTACAATATGAATACACTACGCGTTACAATTAGGTTTGTCTGTTATTAAATTATAAGCGTTCGGACTTTTACATGTCATTTTTTCCTTTTTCCTCTGACTTCTTCTTCTTCTTCTTCTACTGTTCTTTTTTTCTTCCCATATAGGTATATATATTCTTTACTTATTTTTCCTTAACAACACACTTTTCTCTTTTTATCCTTTTTCTTTCCTCGTTTTTTTAAATAAATCTCCATGGTCAGCTGGTGGCATTTAGTTTCCGTTTACGCGCAACATTTTATTTCTGCTTAGTTTTAACTTGCGCTTGCCACGCACCGATGAACGAAAGAAAACACGAGAGACGAGAGAGACGAGACCAAGTTTAGTTGTTTAAAAAGAAAAACGGAAGAAGGAAAAACGCGGAACTTGAAAAGAAAACGAGAAGAAAAAAATAGAAAAAGAGAAGAAGTTCATGCATATGCGTGTGTTTATATATGTATGTATATATATATATGTATGTTGAGTGTAGAGTAGAAAAACATACGTTTGTATTCTGCATAGTATCTTCTATGCAAACTCGAATCCGGTTTTCTATTTCCAATTCCGCTCAAAATTTCCATTTAAATTTCATAAAAATTTGAAAATGCTAAAAGGGGTGATAATTATAAATTTTTAATTAATTTTATAGAATTTTAGAGAGAGAGAGAAGTATATGAATAAAATGATCTATCGATCTATCGTTCTCGGTATCGTCGAAGGGTACGTGGCATTTCGTTTATATTTTTTATCTTTTTATTTTAATCGCTTTTTATTTTATTCATATGTGTATATATATATATACACAATATATTATAATATATTCCTACGTACAATTTGTTTTTAACTACTCACATTAGCATCACATACAAACAGCATTCTCGAGGGCGGTCGTGGGTGGGATTTTTATTTTTTGTTTGTTTGTTTGTTTCATTTAAATAGGGCCTTCTAAGCACGTTGCGCAAAAAACGAAACGTTTCGAGTATTTCTCGGTCGGGCTTAACTATCAAATTCGCGAGCCGCAAACTTATAAGTCAAAAGAAAATCATTTTCTTTTTTTATTTTTTTCTTTTTTCTTTTTTTTCTTTTTATTTATTTTTTCATCGCATAATTCTCGACGGACTTGTCGAACAACAACAACGTATGCGTGAGATAGGTTCGTTTTTAAGTACGTAGAAAATAATAAAAAGGGAATGTTGCTCGTTTTATTCATTAAATAATTGTTCTTTTTTTTTTTCCTTCTTTCTTTCTTTCTTTCATTCATTATTTTTTCTTTTTTTTTTTTTTTTCTAACGAACGAGACGATTATAAATGCGAGGCACGATCGTTGGCCTGGAATTTCGTTTCTCCATTTCGAAAGCTAGGCGTAAATACGTATTTTATTTACATACGCATGATTCGTGAATGTATATATATATATAATAATATGCGTCCTATGACGTATTCAATGCATGAATGAAATATTTATCAAAAAATGAGTTTACTCGATGACGAGGAAAAAAGAAAAAGAAACGGGGCTTTTGTTTAGGGGCATAGGGATAAGGAGGGATAAGTGGGAGAGGGGTGTTTAAAATCGAATCGTGCGCGTAAATGTTCGCGATATCAGATCATTCTTTTATCATTTGTTATCCTCTTTTTTTCTTTTTTTTTTATATCTTTATACAAAACAACGAGAAAAATAATGTGAAAAATTGTTTCGATCATTTGTTTCGCGATCGAACGCGGTGTCAATGATTAAAGTAAGAATTCGTTTGTGTGTGATGTCGTGGTGAATTCGATGAGGAAAGAAAAATAGGAAAGGAGAGGGATGGTGTATTCTAATTTAAAAAAAAACAAAAAACTAAGAAGAATTCAAGGAGAAGGAAAAAAGAAAAGAAGAAAGGAATAATTACAAAAAAAAAAATAAACGAAAATACAGATAGAGATATTTAGGGTAGAAAAGAAAGGAAGGGGGAGGTGGGGATGGGGGGATAAATGGTAAAGAGAGCGAAAATGATGGTGGTAAGGCTAGAGAAGGGGGAAGGGTGTTTGGAAAGAAACGAAAAAAAAAAAAACAAAAAAAGGAGAAAGAAATGAAGGGTGAAAGTATGAATTAAAAGAATCGGGCGATTCGGCCTTCGTATTAACCTAAAACGTGATTTCAATAAATAAGCTACCTAGGGAGCGTTAACCTTTTTTTGGGTGAAAATAAAAAAAAAAAAAAATAAAAAAAAGAAACAGGCGCTCCTTTCGCGTGGCGTTGCAGCCGAAAAAAAGCTGCTGCTGCTGCACCGTGTGTCGCTGTTCCCGTTGGATTAACTGGATTCGGAGTAGGGAAAAAAACAAAAAAGGTTGAAGGAAGGGAAAGAAGAAAGATTGAGAAAAGGAAACAAAGAGGGGTGGGTTGGGACGGGGGTGCTTGTAGCTGTGGCAGCAACAGCAACAACAGCAACAGCAGCAACAATAACAACAGGGAGCAGCAGCAATTTTAGCAACAACCCATGGGGGTTCGGCTTTTTTCGCATTTGCCATAACGCGTACATACGTTTTTCGCGCTTTTTTTTGTTTTTGTTTGTTTTTTTTTTCTAACCTAATAATACAGTTTTATTTGTTATTTGTTTAATTATTAATGCGCCAGCATTTTCCTAATGATTAAGTCAATAACGATATAGTTTTTAATATATTACACCCACTCACACGCGTTTAAGAGGGCAAATTTTTGTTTACCAACGCGTACGCATGCACGCACGAGTTTTGGACGCGTATCACACGCATACGATGCACACGCATTTTCTTTTAAACACACGCAACAACAACAACAACAACAACAACAACAACACAGAATATAAGAGAGAGTGAGAGGTACGCTTTTCCTCGCTCGCTCGCTTGCTCGCTTGCTTGCTTTTTCGGTTCTCTGCAATACCTTTTTTTTTCTTTTTGTTTCTTTTTACCATCTTTTACACACGTGTATATACTTTTGTTTTCTTCTTGATATTATTATTATTATTAGTAGTAGTATTATCATTATTATTATTATTATTATTATTATTATTATTAATATTATTAATATTATTATTATTATTATTATTATTATTGCTCGGTCGGGTGCATCGAAGCTTTTGAGTTCGCGCGCGAGCGATCGATCGATCGGATCGGTACATAACCGCACGCGTAACTACTACTTATACACACACACACACACGCATACTTGCACGCACGCACGTATTTATGCACACCCATACATTTAACATTCACATATCATACGACATGCATGCAGGCAGGCAGGCAGAGCACGCACGCACGTACGTTACGTTACGTTACGTTACGTTACGTTACGTTACATTACGTTACATTACGTTACGTTACGTTAGGCGAGCTATTAAATTAGCACACAGCGAGCGAGTGAGTTTCCTTGCACGGCGGCATCAGGCTGCATATTTTTTCTTATTTTCTTTCTTTATTGTTCTCAGTGTGTGTACGCAGCACAGCGAATTTGCGCGCGACAACCCCTTCCCTGAGGAACACCGCGAATCTCGATTTTTATTATGTTTTTTTTTCTTTTAATTTTATTCTCCTTCTTTTCTCCTCCTCCTCCTCTTTCTCCTCCTCTGATACAATTAAGAGTGAAAGAATCAATCGTATTTAATTCGATGTTGTCTACTTGAAAATTACGTTTATTTAAGATTACAAAATGAATTTGAGAGAAATTCTCCGCGTGCGTGTGCAGCGGAGGAGAAGAAATGTTTTTATTTTTTTAGAACCGTTCATTAATCTGTTCGTTCAAAGAGTAAGAAAGAGAAAGAGCATGAGAGAAAGAGAAAACCCTCGGTGGGAAACAAACGCACGTGCATTCATCTCTACGATCACCATTTACGATTATTTAATTATTTTGTTTGTTTGTTTGTTTTTCAATTTGTTCGCTTGAAGAGAACTGCCCGCGAAGATTCGAAACGCAAGCGACGTTAATCCATCGACTCTTCTTTTTTCGCGTATTTCGTCTCCGAATTAAACTCCTACTTGTCCTAAATAGGTTCAGTCGGGGGACAAGAGAGGAAGTTTTTCGGAATCGCGCGAAAATTTGGAGATCGGAGTCGTTGAATTTCGTCCTATTTCGTAATTTTTTCTTCCCTCTTTTCGTTCTTCACTTTCCCCCCATCTTCTATCCTCTTCTAGCCTAGATTTCGTTTCGATCTTCCCGATACATTTTCCCCTTTTGGAAAAACAAAAAAAATCGAGACGCGTTCACATTTCGCGCGAGATGCAAGTTGATCGCATTAATCATTTCGAAATTCGCAGTATTTCCCGCGAGAATGGGGCAAATTCCCTGAAGGATTATTTCGTTACCGAACTGATCATCCGAAAAAAAAGACGCCAATTAAAGCGACGATGATTTATGCGCGCGCTTGTGTGTGTGTGTGTGTGTATTCTGTGTTCGGTTACAATAGATTCTCAGGTTACTCACGGGGTGGGGGGTGAAGTTTCGGTGTCTGTGTGTTGCCTGCGTATACAGTTGTTGTGTAATTGTGTTCGTGTACGCGTGTATTCGTGTATAAGTAGTATATATGTATGTATTTTGTTTACGCTTAGTGTTATATCGCGTGTATTACATGTATGTATATACGTATGTGTGTTGCGTGTGTGGATTAAAGAGGCAGTCTTGATCGGCGAGCCAATGCTTCCTTTTTCGGCTCAATATTTCGTGGCCTCGACGAGGAGACGACTTTCCTGTCGTCTTCGTTGCATCGCCGAATTTTCCTCTTCGTCCTTTCGCATCTTCCAACGATTCGAATGCCGATGACGATGCGTCGTGTGCCCTGCAGAATGTTGCTGCTGTTGCTGTTGTTGTTGCTGTTGTTGCTGATGGTAATGCTGTTGCTGCCTGACACCACTACTGTCGGCTTGTATCAGCGAGTTTTTTGTCGCCCTCATCGGTGTAGGCTTCCTCGATAGCACGTAAGGTTCTCTCGGTTCCATACCACCCATATCCGCGTTCACCAGGCTGTTATGGTGGTTTATATCGGCGTGAGGATTGTATTTGATGAAGTTGAAACATTCCTGTCTACCATGGGGATTTTTCATCGGTTTGCCGAGCTTGTTGAAACCGAGGTATCGCGTACTATCGGCCACGCTCCTATACCTGAGATACGAACCGTTGTAGACCTCGTAAAACTGGCACATCGGACCTTTCTGTTTTTTCGGCTGTAACATAAAATAGGAAGCATGAAAAACGGGTCGTAGGTTTGATCCAAAATGGATTCATTTGAACGGCAAGATTTTAGAGATATTCTCACGAATCTCTTCACGAATGCCTAGTTAAGTATTTCGCATCGAAGTCCCACATTATTCGAGTAGGTGAATTCGCGAATGAAACAATCGATTAGATAATTGGGAGAAATGAAGTAATTACCAAGCCGACGAGTTTCCACCGTTTGTTGAAGCAAATATATCGCTGACTTTTCTCCGCGAAGATGTACAACTTCCTACTGAAGTCCTCGGATTGTGTCGTGAGCTTCTCTGTAACAGAAAGAGAACCAAAAAATAAAATATCAAATAAAGAATCGTTGCTTTCGTAGAAAATAAATAAATAAAGCAAGAGAAAGAGATAGAGAGATAGAAAAGAATAAAAGATTTTGCTGTGGGCCCTTCGTAACGATACAACGCGGCAAATGTTATGGGACAAAGCGAAACTCGTCTATGGTGGCCGGACTCAAGATGTCTTTGGTGGCATCGGTATGCTAAAGCGCGCACTCGCACTGCCACATTTCCGAGAAGTGAGACCACAAGGAAGAAAGAGAAAGAAAAAGAGAAAAAGAAAGAGAAAGAGAAAGAAAGAGTCCGTGGTTTATGGCGTGAGGAGTCGTACTACCTACATCGAAATACGTTAGCTCGTTCACTCTCTTACTGTCCCTCTCATTCCTTCGTTCGGCACCATGGAAAGAAGAAAAGCGGCGGCCAGAGGTTGGTCGGTGCTAATGAAGGAGGCACAGACCGACACCGGTGTGTGCTTTGCCACTTAGCGGACCCTGTCGTTCGTGCTTCGACCCCGAAGAGTGCACGTCCAACTTCTACAACACTCCCCTCACCCTCCCTCTTCACCTTTCCTCCTTCATTCTCTTTCCATCTTTCCTTTTCTATTACCCAAACTCTTCTCTCTCTTATATTATTACGAAATATCTCAGCAACCGAGAGAGAATCTTCTTTTGTTCCGATCGAGGTAAAAGGAGAATACGAGTTTTCTACAGGTGTATAAACGCAAGTCCCGGAAGATTTGAAGTTTCCTTAAATTTTACAGCTTCCTTTGAGAAGACGAGAGAGAGAAATGAAAGTGTACTTTGGGTGGTCCATTTCCCTAGGTCCTCGTCTCGTTAAGTTCGGTTACATTCTCGGCATCGGATTATCAAGAAACATCCAAAATTATCTCTCTAAGTTATTTACGTTCCCCTTTTTTTTTTTCGAAAAAGAGAAAGAGAGAGAGTCTCTAAATTGAAGTTTATTAGAGTTAATTAACCCCCATTCGAAAATTCAACTACGTTTCTTTAGTTTCGTTCGATCGATCCGTTACATTTTTATTTGAAGGAATATCTATTAAAAAAACGGGAACAATGGGAATGTATGAAAAATACGTTCGAATAGGGAATATATACGGAATTGACAATATCTTGAAATAGTTCAGTATCAACATCGCAAGAGACATTACAATACCGGTAAGTGTTTGGAAGTCTTCCATATATATATCCTGCGGTTTTCGATATCGAATTTGAATGAATGCCAAGAGCTTTTAAATACCGAAAATCAAAGACCTCTTATGTTCTTTTGGTTAGCCTCGATATTTGGTATATTACTATACACACTGTTCAATAATAAGGGTTACCAAAATAAGGGATTTCGATAGATTGAGAGGAGTTTACGTGAAGAATTTTTGCGACGAGGAGAACATGACCAAAGAATTTTTTCGTCGTGTTAAAAGAAAAAAGACAGATACTTTTCCTCTCTCTCTCTCTCTCTTTCGAAAACAACTCCACCCTCGTCTCCTTAACGTTTCTGCCCTCTGATCGAAGCCGCCAGGAGATTAGAGGCTGCCAAATGAATTAAAAGGCAATTTTAATCAAAAGCGGGCACCGGCTTTTAGGCACGATTACCCCCGATAATAACCGGTGGGATGGGCTCTCGTATAGCGTTCTCGTACGAGGAAAAGAACCCATGAGACCATGGGTAAGAGAAAGAAAGAATGAAAGAATGAGAAAAAGGGACGAGGAGGGAATATGGTGAGGAGGTAGGAGAGAAGAATGGATCCCATATATTACTTCTACGTGCTTCTCGCGATACGGGAACCGATTTGCCATGCCATGCCATGCCGGTTGGTTAGTTGGTTATAGGTTCGCAACTGACCCTATATTCGCCCTCGAATCAGGACAACGGCCGAGTTCTTTCAACCCTTCAACCGTTATAGGCAGACTCGAAACTCGTCCAAAGTACAATACTGTTGCCAATATTTTGTCTGTGTCGGAAAAATTTCTTACCCCAGAATAACAATATGAGAAAGGAACGGGGGGGGGGAATGGGAGGAGAAAGGGGGTTTGATTGAAACGATTGTTATTTCCGTGATATGAATAAATGGTACCATTGAGAACCACTGGCGTGCAACAATTTCGCGGCGTCGGCGTTATGAAAGCTATAATACAACGCGAGATGGTCAAACCGGGCCGGGGTATACCAAACGCGTAAGCATAATAAAATAAAATGAAGAATAAAAAGAAAGGAAGAAAGAAAGAAAAGATGCATATAAGCTGTAGCTCTTGTTATAAGGGCGCACGTATAATAGCGACCCTGTCATTAACACCTAAACGCACGATTGGTCGATGCTCAACGTCATCCATCTTCCTTCTTTAACCAGAAGCACAAAGAAGTACATGTACACGGTGTACAAACTGGATAAAAGAAAAAAAGTGATAAAGAAGAGAGAGAGAGACAGAATGATCGGGGCGACAGCTGAAGAGTCTGGTTTATCAAACTGACACGCTAATCACAGCTCGCTAAGACTAAAATAATTAAATTCCAAGTTGGACGAGAGTCCTGTCTGCGCTTGGAATCCTTCCTTCCTTCCTTCCTTCTTTGATCTCCGATCCATATTTAGTCCTATCTAGTTTTGTCCGTCCGTTCTTTTCATATTTTTCATGACAATCCGAAAAAAAAAGCTGCTGACTCGTTCGTTTATGCGAAATTCTTCAAACCTGCTCTATTTTTCTTTCTATCTATGATACTTTGAAACGAGTATGTTAATCTATCCTTTTACTTACCAGCTGTCGCAAAAAGAAAAGGAACAAAAATTCTAAAGAAACGAGAATTAAAGGAAAATTGTATTGTGTTTTCCCTTCCCCTCATGCATGCATGCATGCTCGTATTATTTCGAGTTAACTCATCCAATGTTATTCTTTCCAAGAACGTTTTAGATAGCTTTGGAACGCCCTATCCCCCCCTGACTACACTCGGGGTGGTCGTAGAATAGGTTAGAGTCGATTCGTAAGTCCCTTCGAACAATGAAGACAACCAATTAGTGGCTCTACCGCTTCCAACGCGATGGAAGAAGGAACCCTCTCTTAATCGGGCTCGTTGAATAGACACACTCTCTATTTCTAACAGGTAGTAGTAGTAGTAGTAGTAGTAGTAGTAATAATAGTAGATGTATACGTCTATTTCTTCGAGTCTCAGAACTCGTTTTATCGGCGTGTAATTAGGAGACAAAGGGTTAAAACTGGTTTCTAATGACTCCGAGATGAAACAAACGAACTTGACGTCTCTCTCGTGAAAATTCATGCTTAAATTTTCGTCTAATTATTAATTGTGTAAGAATTGAGACACCAATGGATTTTTTTTACGAGAAAATTTTTACCATAGTCTTATTATCGGACGAACGGAAAGTCAACTGAGGGGACGGTCCTTTAGGATTATCGTTGAAATGTGATCGTAAAAATGTTTTAGAGGCACACCTACTCTTACGTCGTGGTAAATGACCACGGAAACTGTACTCGAGAGACCGCAGGCACGCATCCGCTTTCGCTGGTACGAACAACGATAACGAAAGAAAAAGGGAATGGGAAAAAATATAAAAAAGAAAATAATCAAACAAGTTAGAGAGAGACACTAAACATAATTAATATCTGCGTATAAAATAAAATGATTCTTCTATTAATAAAAATAAACAAGAAACACATAATTGTGCCCATAATTATCATATGAAAGTGGTCTAAGTCAAAATTATAAAAAACACAGCACAAAATTATTTTCAATTAAATTAATTCAATATAATTTTCTACGATATTGTCAAAAAATGAACTGTGAGATTGTGCTTGTTATTTCAATATTATATAGAATTCATTTTTAATCTAATTTAAAAGGAAAAAACAAGATTAGGCGTAAACGTGCATTTGTTATTATTCAAAAAATAATCTACATTATTTTTAATGTAACTTCGGAAATTATTTACATTCGAAATACCCCCCCAGTGTTTGAAAAATGATTTAATATCAAGACACCCGAATAAATTGCTATAGCTAATGAAATAAATTGTGACTGTAACTGGTTAAAACAGTGCACGACGTCGCTCGTAAACAACATTGCAAGTAAAGAACAATAGCTATATCTTCTATAAAGTCATTGTCATTTATCCGATGACATCTCTCTTCCGGAGTATATATCGAGCACTTTGGACGTTCCTTCTAAGGTAAATCGATACCAGGTTGTCTTTAGCACGAAGAGAAAACTGATGCCAAGCTTGGCGATCAGTCATATGTCGTTACGATGACGGAGATCAAAATCCTACACCATATATACACCATAAGTTCCTTCCTTTTATTTGATACGACTTCAATAGACCCCCACCATATTTATTTCTTATATTTATACTGATGTTATACTTCATTTGGTGCGTTTTGTAAACTGAAGTTAAATGCGACCGAAAAATCAACACCACGAAGTTGTCGATATAAAATGATTTCAAATGTTTCTTTCTAGAGCGGTCACTCATCTAAATTCTAATCGTACTTAAGTGTTGCTTGACTTAAATAAACGAGCAGGAACTAGTGCTGTCATTTATTTATTAAATCATATTAGGTCTATGCCGAAAAATTCTGCCTGTTTCTGATTTTGATATTTTGTAATTTTTTTTTGTAAATTTGTAAATTTTGTTTTGACATTTAATAATATAATATTTATTGTAGAGATTGTATGTTTATTATGAAACAATCGAGAAAAGATCTCACGGGGTACGTACGTACGTACGTCACGATTATCTTATTCCGTTCCGTAAGAAAACCAAACGTTGTTGTTGGCGATACAAAAAGAGAAAAAGAGATAGAAAAAGAGAAAGATATAACGGGTGAGAGAGAAGGTTAAAAGAAGTAGGTGGTAGAGGAGGAGACGAAAGAACGTGATGGATCTCGGGGAGGTGCAGACATAGCGGCATACGTAGCATGCAGCAGCGCGAAAACTGGCTCTTCTGTTTACACAAGCCTTCAACTTCTTCCCTCCTCCCATTTATTTTTTTATCTCTTTCTTTTTCTCTCTCTCTCTCTCTCTCTCTCTCTCTCTCATACCATCTTTCTCTTTCTCTTTCTTTTAGCGCAAAGTCGCGGAGGGCGGACACGGTGTTCCATCGTTCCCTTCTTCTCTCCACCTCGTTCACTTTCACATGCACGTTGAGAAAACGGTTCTCAAGATTGCATTCGAATCGAGAACGTTCTACTCCGAGCATAATATACTGGCCAACCAGGGACAAGACATCTCGGAATTTAAACGTGAAAGAATTCAACGAGATAACGAGGATAATCGATTTTCGTTCGATACACGAAGAGGAGGAGGAGGCGGGGGGAAGAGACTGGAGGGAAGGTAAGAACATTGCGAGGATGATGTTTCAAGAATGGAGTAACATTTTCGTAACTCCTTTCCTTGTGTTCGTTTCTCTCTCTTTCTCTCTGTCTTACCAAAAGCCAAGTTCCAACGATAAATGTGAAGAAAGGGGAAAAAAAAGGATCGGAGAAGGACATTCCGGGAAACGATTGAACACGGGACGCACCATGGTCATTTTTATCGGAACGGTCATACCTATAGGACAAGTTTTGACATTTACGAGCTAATCAATTTGCGATAAGGATGTATAAGCTTTTCTTTTCCAGTTTTCGGGTTTAGTCTTGAAGAACATTTTTCTCTGAACAAGTATTATATTTTCTCGTTTGTAAGATAGAGAAAGGATTTGATGCATTTTTTCGGATAGGAGGTACGTGTAACTTCGAGTTAGAAGGAAAAGTAACATTCGTGTAATAATATTCGAACGTGATCGATAAAATAAAAGATAGGATAAAAAGAATAAAAAGGAATATAAGGATATATGGGATAGAGATGAACATTGAGATGAACGGTATGGTGTGTCTAGTCGAAAACAATAGCGACTAGACGAGGTAAAAGGTACGTCGTTATTCATCTCGAATTTTTCATGGTCCTTTAAGAAACTACCTTTCTTTCGTTTTTAAAAAGTCCAAACTGTTCGTCTCTGTCTTTTCTCGAGCAAAAGGGCAACACCCTTCTTCTCTCTTTCTCTCTTTATTTCTTTCTGTTTCTCTTTTTTTGTTTCTCTCTCCATTCTACTAAAGAAATATTGTTCCTCTTCTCGGTGTTATTAGCGAAGATGAGATTTCTCTGATGATCATCGTGGTTCCTTATTCTCCTTTTAAATTATGTTTTATGTCCGAACTTTATTTGCATCTTTCCTTGGATCGATTACGAACAAATTACGAATAGCAGAAAAAAAATAGTAGATCAAAAACAAAACGTTGATTTTTATTTTTTTACTTCGATGAATTTAAGTTAAATTATCTATTTCGTTAGGAATAAAGATGCTACGATTTGGGGTGTATTTCGAAAAATTCGAATTTGTTCTTTTAAATCTTGAGAATCGATAGAAGCACCAGCAGCAGAGTACATGCTTCCCGTTTGATACTATCTTTCGGTTATTAGCTCGTAAAAGCTACGCTTTGGGACTGAACGAGAGAAATAAGTAGATAAAGGATAAGAAAGAGAGAAACAATATTTCTTTTTCTTTCTTAGTAGCCAAAAAAGAGAGTGAGTGTGTGAGATAGAAGGAAATATAAGTCCTCGATCCGAGTTCCTAACCGATAAGGATCGCAGTAAATTAAGATCTTTAATGCCGACCGGTCGTCGACAATTTTGAAACTCCTCTCTTCTTCGGCAACCCTTAGAGAAATTTTGAAGGAACCATCTGATTCGTAAGATAAGATACTCGTTGTACCTCTTATACAACGAAATTCTCGATTGGGTTCGATTAACTAATCATACGATAACCACACGCGCGTCTCATTTTATCTCATTTCGAAATCTATCCCACGTGTATAATATTATTATTATTAATATTATTATTATTATTATTTAAATATTAAGAAAAATAATATAAGACACGTGTAAAATTAATGAAATTATTTCAAAGTAGATTAAACGATACGTAAATGAGTGATATTAATGTGGACTGTTTATTTTAAAAATGGTTTAAGTACATTTTCTATTGTTTTGAGAATAATTCAAGGCTTGCATATATTGGTTAATTGACAAATATTCATTAATTATATGAAGGGGCTGCAAATGGGCTTACACCCCACTTTCTAAATAAACAATCATCCAATTAAAAGAAATATCGTTGAATTATTTTTCTACAGCAGTGTCACTGATTAACTCAAGCACTGTCATTTTGAGAATGGAAATAATCGTATAAGAAGATAAGATATTAGGTAGAAAATAAGATGATAGAAAAGATGAAAAGTTTCCACTTACGGTAGGGTGCATTGTCATCGCTGCGTCCCACGGCCTTGATCGAGCGGCCCATTACGGTAACATTGCCGCTGCTGCAAGTCGAGTAGAGACTCACGGAGCGCACCATTGCAGGTACCGCCCCGCACATCACCACCTGTAATTACAAAAGGGTACTCTTATGTCTTCCGAAAGAGAGGGAATAATCCGATCCCATGGAAAGGGTACTACTACTACTACTATTCTTCCATGAGACTCAAAAACACACGTCAAATTATACTTTAGTGCATTTATGCGCGTGCCACGGTAACTATAAACACCATTATCATAACCGTATCATTTATCCATACGTTTATTTTCTCACACGATATGATTTAACTATTTAGGATGTAAAACCGGTATAATAAAAGGGTATCTTTGTTAAATGAATTTTGAAAAAACTGTGGAAATAATTAAACTCGTAGAAATTATTTGATTGAGCTTTGGGAAACTTTGGTAGTTTCTTTTTTTTTTGCATTTTTCTTTTGTTGAAGTCGTTAAATAGATATTTGCGAAAGTTGCATTTTATTTTACGATACGTTAACGAACATTTATACGATCTCGTGGATGAAAAAACACACACGTTAGTTAGTTTGTACGTCGTCGAGTTTTGTTCATCGTCATTCTGATGGTTCCCTTGCAACACTCGATTCGAAGACGTTTAGAACGAGCAAATAAGCAAGCGTCCACGTCTCGAGAAAGAAGAAAAGTAAAAGGGGGAGGATCGTTAACGAGCAGACACGAGCCGTCCATTAATGGCACCTCTGAAAATCCTCTTTCGTTTATTTCAAAACTGGCGCCATAATAATGTTACGAGGCTGACCAACCCGCCATACGCCACTCTGTTCCATCTAATTAACCAAATTGAATAACATTCCGTGGCTTGTTTCAACTCGAATAACAACGTTCATAGTATTTTCAATTCTAACGATACTCGTCTCGTACAAGGGGGTGTGCTTGTGCATGTTTTAATACGAAAAAAAGGAGGAGGAAGAAAAAATAGATGCATCTCAAGACACAACGAGTTCTAAAAACATTTTATTAATTTTTTATATTTCAATCAAATTGCACAATCCTTTCTCCTCTTATTCTCATTTTTATTTTTTTACTTAACACACAAAACTCAAAGGATCCTTGACATAAAAACTCTGTTAAAGAAATCATAAAACAAGCACACATATCTCCCCGATATTTCGTTCGATCATTTATTTATTAAATCGGCTCGTGACTCTCTCTGTTTCGAATCGAATTATCCTTATTAAGAACAGAGTTATAAACGATCGTAAATCATCGTTCGATCGATCGAATCGAATCGAAGAATCGAACCGATTCAGGTGCTCCCCGATCGTTACATCGAAAAGTCTAACGGAGAAACATTGCATTACTTTCGTAACAACGAGTGCTACGTAAGAAAAATATTGAAAGAAGAAGTCGGGGGGTGTGAGGGAAGGAGTTAGGGTTGAAAGGAAACAAAAAAAATTAAAACATAAATATAAAAAACAAAACAATAACGGGAAAGAAAAAGAAAAGAAGTAAAAAATATGAGAACGTGTAGCGAATACAAGAGCGTGAAATTAAAGGTACAAGGAAAGGTATAAAAGGGATCATCGTTGGTTAGGTAAGAAAGAGTAGAAGCTTAAAAGCAGCAAAAGGAACGAACGAACGAATGAACGAACGAGGACGTCGATATAAATCGTCGGAGTTGTAAACGCGTAGGAGTGGAAGCACCGATCATTAATCTATGGCAGGTAAGGTGCTCACCGACGTAATCGTCGATTTACTAAGTCCTGGCACGACTTCCAACACGCGATATTCTCCTCCTCTTCTTACTTTTATTTTTTTCGTATTTTTATCTTTATCTTTAACTTGTAACACGAATTCCTTCTCTCTCTTTCTCGCACGAAGAGAATATCTTTGATCTGACCCGGTCACCGAACAGACTACTGGAGGTGGAGGTGGAGGAGGTGGAGGGAAAGAGCTACTATCGGTTGGTTACACGTATTATGTAGATACATGCACACGCAAACATCTATTTACATATATATGTATATATCTATAGACTGTTTTAGTGTGTATGTGAAGTAGATAAGAATGAAAAGTAACAATGTATATGCCAGTTTGCAAAAGTAATACGACTAAACTACACGTTTCTCTTCTACTATTACGAGTTTTCTCGCTAAACTTTGCGTGTCATTGGTTAAACTATTGAAAGTCGATTTAGTTGGTAGGTATCATAGTTATTATTATTATTGGGTGAGTTTACTGTACCTACTATATACTAGTTATTTCTTTCAAAGATAATACAAACTAGTTTGGAAATAAGAAACTTTGACTAAGTTTTTCGCAGAATAGATATATACCGATGTAATTTTATGGTCTTAAGGGATCCTTTTACTATTTCAAGTTATAAGACTAGATCGTTAGAAAGTTTCGAGTCTTTGGTGATATCGCAAATCTAATTGGAATCTCGATCGAAGATAATGGGATTACGTAAGAATGAAAACTTACCATCAGGAGGCACAAAATCTTCGCTAAAACGGCAAGCTGTGGTAACCTGTAACAATAAATTAATTCACATCAATATTATTTCACAAATAATTATGTTTTTTTTTGCTGAGAAGAGAGATATAAATTTTATCTTATTTGTGTTAATAAATAACCCGAATATAAATTGATTCAAATAATGATTATTACATCAATCTTACAAATTGAAATTGGAAGATTCAAGGAATTATTCATAATAAGGTGTAAGGTGCATGATTAATATCGGAGACAAATTACGATTGGTAGATTGCATGAATCGTTGCATTCAACGAATGCAACTCACCGATGTTTTCTCTATCATGAAAATAATATTCATCTCTAATCGATGGGTGAATTCTTTTTTTCTTATCGGTAGCTCTTCTTCTTCATCATTCTTGTTTCTTTCGAAATCATGCGATTGACGTGGCACGTGCCTCGGATCTATCAATCAATCAATCAATCAATCAATCGGAATAATTAATGCAACATACGGTAGCATACTAACAACATCAAATATTGAGATTACTTTTCGAAAGGGATGCATTTGAGGAAATATAATTGAAAGTTTGTACTTAAAAATAAAAGAACACGAGTATCTTGTTAGAAATCAAAAGTAGTAAGACGGTGTGTCACTGTTTGTAAGTAATAACCCAGTTGCAAGTGAGCTGCTCGTGTGGTTCACAGCCACACGAATTGTGCAACGTGAATGCATCTTGTGTTACACAGAACATAACACACAGGTGAACACCAATGGTTTATAACAACGAGGGCAAGGAAACGTTACTAGTAAAAGGGACGAAATTAATCAATGCATTGATGATGATGATGATGATGATATGATTTAATAAATAACAAAAAGATTAATGGTTTAACTTACGTTATATTAAAACGTTTACTTTAATTTCATATCTGATATTCGTTACACGTGAGAAACACGTTTTTAATTACGTATTTGATTTTAATATATATCGAGGATATATAATATAATAATAGATTAAGATTTATGATAGATTATTTGGCTACCAATTATTTTCATTTCCTCTATTTCTCTATCGTTCAATCTTCTTGTAATCGAATACCACTTCGGATATCGTTTGATCGTAAAAGCCAATGTGATTCTTAACTTAGAAAAAAAGAAAGAAAGAAAGAGAGAGAGAAGAAAGATTCACTTCTCTTACGTTTATCACCGTATATCCAACGCGACATGCATCGAACGCATAATGCGTGGCTGCGGTTCCCCATATGCAGTCATCTCAGGTTTCCGAGGTTTAATTGTACCGGCGAGACGGTTAACTCGCAACTGGAAGTGCGCTAAACGTCACAACGTTAAGACCTTTTCCTATTATCGAGACGTTGCTAAGTTTATGTTATTCTACTACGCTATTTTACATGATTTTTTCAATATTTTTTACATTGATTTTTATCAACGACCATGCCACGCTGCAAGCACTAGTTCCCGTTCGATCACAAAAATCAAGCAACATTGGGACACGGTTTTTAATACTTGCATGGGTGACCACTTTAGGAACACCGTCTGCTGTTTGTTTCCAAGATTCTGTCTTTTTTCTAGATACATTTTTATAATGATAGTAATAATCTACATTCACTCCTCATATGACTTTTTCCAAAACGCACACCGAAAAAAGTATAACTTCAAAAAAAGTTATTATAACAGAACCGAAAAATCCTAACAAAAAGAAGATGATGATTTTTATTCCTATCCTTCTTCTTATTATATTATTTCTCAAAGATGAGAATAAAAAATAAGAGGAAAGAAAGATAAGGATCTGCATTCTCGACGAGAGGTAATTTCATATTCCAAAAGCAGCCTTTAACGAGGACAGTAATAACATTGATACTGTCAGAGTAAGGAAGATAGAAATAAAGAGAAAGAGAAAGAGGAGAATATGTGTTCGGATCTTGTCTCACGAAATCGGGTTGCACCTTATTCTCCTTATCTGAACGATCCGATCGAAGAATCGATTTTTCGCGAAAACCCATGCTGCCGTTTGTCGACCACCTGTCAATAAGCTCCAATCAGTTCCAAGGTGTACGAGTATTCCCTCTCATCAGTGTACCTCAACTCTTGCATGCTTTTACATAATTGGAAAATTAGTCAGAACGTTTGATGTCCCGCTGACAGAGAACAACCTTCGTCGTCTCGTTAGTCAGCCTCGAAAATATTCTCTATGACAGAGTATTATCAAAACGTGTGTTACATTCATTATTCTATGTTTTCCCTTTCGTTGCATAATAATTAAGATAAAGTCTCAAACATTAATTGAGACGTTTATTTCGAAAATGGCATAAGTCACTTTTCTTCAAAAAAATTCAGTTAATGGCAACACTAATTACAATTGAACGGTATCTTTTCATTTAAAAAATAAAAAATAAAAAAGTGACTTACATCACTATCAAAATAAACAGCTTAATTATATAGATGAAAGTATCTCTATCATTTTTAGATATATACTAGATATATTATTCGTGAAAGTGTGTGTGAGAGAGAGAGAGAGAAAGAAACGAAGAAAAATGATAGAAGAAACTGTTCGAGAGGGAGGACGTGAAAAATCCAGTATTTCCAGTATTTCTAGTATCGACGTAGTATCTTGCTTCGTAAGAACGAGGAAGAGGAGGAGGAGGATGAGGAGGATGAGGAGAAGGATGATGATTCGAGGCTCTTTGACTCGGACGTCAGAAGTAAACGTTTTCGCGATGAAGCTTCGCGCCTTTGAGGAGGAGCACGTGGCCGAGGTTGAAGAATTCCGAGCTCTCGTGGAATCTCAATGAGAAGACAGAAACTTTTGTCGTCCTCTTGACAACAATATTTTTAAAACGACAATGTACACATATTCCGCGGAATAATCAAATCGTCGTCACACTCGCGTTGTCAACTTTCATCGAAAATTTTCATTCTCATTTTTTCTTTTTTCGGATTTTTGTTTTATGAATTACAATCGATCGAAATTTAACTCACCTAAAAATCTCCGAACACAACATATCGTCGTATGATCACTTCGTGTCGTCATCTCCGTCCCATTATTTCTCATTGAATCCAAAAAACAATACTCTATATACGTAATAATCTCAGTCGTACCTGATTTAAAACGAGACAATAGAAATATAGGCCGATCGAATTGCATAAAAAAAAGAAACACACCGCGTGTTAAACTTAAAAAACTTGTACAAGACACACACACGATCCGTTAATTAATTAATCTCCCACGCGTCACCGTAAAATCCTGCGTAAGAATTTCTAACGTCACCGAAAAAATACACCAAATTCGTGACCGAAATTTATCTGATGTATTTTTTGTTGTAGAAAAAAAAAACCAAAATTCTTTCAATCCGTTCGATAAATGAAATAGATTTAATCACTATATGGGGTTTATATTGTATTAGACGATAAACGATCGAATGCAACTTTGCAAAATAGATTTGTTTTTTAATTTATTTAAACGTAAGAAAAATAAGAGAGAAGATGATATTGTGTGATCACCGGTACGAGATCAGCACAGTGAATGCAACCGAGAACTAACTCTGACGAGCTGGTATGACATCCTCCTCCACCTCCTCCTCGTGGCCACGTGGGGACTACGTTCGAAAAGTTGAATTTTAGTGGGGAGGGAGGAATATTCGTTGGCCGCGGAGTGAAAAACTGCCAACACTTGAATAGATCAGGCCCGGGCCCGGCCCGGGTCCGGGCAATCGACACGCCGATGAAAAACGTGGCTACCGAGTTGGTGCCGTTGTCGATGGTTCTCAGCTGGACACCACCACCAACCACCCACAATCTTCCTTCCCTTCTTCATTGAATATTTTGTCTCGATTTCACCCGTTCATCAACTAGGGCTAACTTGAAACCTATCATTTTTATTATCCTTGACGAATCACCATAGATCAAAACTCTGACGAATCAGAAACTTGCACACAGCTTGCAAGTTTGAATTTAAAATAGTAAACGTGAGAGTATACTCATTCATTTCTATCAAACGTAAGACCGATGATACATCATCATATTCCATGGGGTTTTCAAGCAGCTTATTTTCGATTTATGTGATCGACTTTTAAGAATATTATTTCGAAGGGAAAGAGAGAAAGAGAGTGGGGAGTAAGAATGAAAAATCGTTACAATCGTTTGGTTCTATGGAAGAAAATTCGTGAACGTCTCTATTCAATAAGAAACCATGAAAGAAAGAGAGGAAAGAAAGAAACCACGAAATTTAGTGGGTTTGAAAAGAGCACGAGCCGAAAAAGTGTCACCTGGTCGTCGTTTCCCTTCGACAATAGAAAACCCCAAATGTTTCCTAAATAGGCGTATCGAATTGTAACAAATCACTCGCACCAATGGAAGGGAGTCTCGGTTGTTCCCTCTTCGACGTTTATTCCGAAAAATTTATGAAGCATTGATGTTACGCTAGTTTAACTAACCCTCACGTTTAACGTTTAACGCCAATAAATTGTCATAATTTACGAATCACACCGTTTATAATCGCGAGGATTACTTCTGAGAACGATTTTCGCGATTTTGTTAATAAATTAAATGTTAATAAAAAGTATTATCAGTTTCTTTTAAGTTGAAATCATTTCCTTTCAAATCCGAAAAAAAGGACGGAGTATAAATAAATAATAAATAAATTAAATAAATATATAAACGGTAGACAAAACTAGACGAAATTTATTCAGGTAATTCGGCATCAATAAAAGTAAACGTTATCGCGTGGCAGCTTGTGTCGACAATCAGGCTCGTAAAATCCTAATTTTTTTTCGGCTTAGATAGGCTTCTTAAATTCTTTTCAAGCATGATAATCTACTCTCTCTCTCTCTCTCTCTCTTTCTCACTTATTCCACGGATAAGTTAATTCTCGTCACCCGCATAAAATTCCGATCCAACATATTGGTCCATTGATGTTCAATAAGAAAATTCAGGTTCAATTGATCACGAATGAACCGAGATTTGTCTTACGAACACGAATGCGAACCGAAAATTTGTCTACGAGTCATTTCATTTCGAAACTTGTTAACATTAAT